TGAGCTGTGCTCAAGCTGGCAGGGGCTCTTTTGTGTGCCTGAGACACCAAGTTGGGGCTTGACAAGGTCCAGGCTGAATTCCTGGCTCTGCCAACCCATGCAGCCTAGTTACTGTGTTTAGCCAGGTGCTCTGTTGCCTGCTTTAAAACAGAGTCAATGATTCTGCACTGTCCATCCACAGGGATGTCTGCATTACAAAGGTGCTGCAGCAACTGTCCTCCGGCAAGGATGGAAACTGAAAAAACACAGCAGGCAATAAAATGCACTGCAAGGGTCTACAAGCCCAGCAGAGTCACTTGTGTGCAATAAAATACAACTGTGCAGCTGTGGGAGAGGGACATGATGGATAAAGTGGGTAGGAGACAGGACCCCGATGTCCCCTGATGCTCTATTTGATACACACAAAGGAGTAAAAGTGACTATTCAATACCAAATCAGCAACACACTCAAAAAGGGCTGCCTTCCTCCACACATTTCTGCACTTCAATGCAGATAGGTCACATCACATTGACGCCTGCACAAAACTCACCCCTCACAACCTATTTCCTCAGCTGACAAGAAGCAGACTGAGGTCTTATCTCCTCAGCGGGCACAACTGTGGCTGGTGCAGAGGGAGGCTGGCAGCTGCACTTACACGTCTGCACCCAGGTCAGCTCTGCTCTGCAGGTTTTATCTTCATCCACTTCAGGGCTGGGCACCTTTCAACACCCTCGGTGTCGAATAACTTCATGCCCCCAAGTGCCATAAACTTCTACAATGACAGTAACTCACAGATGGGTACGGATGGTTATAAAATCATGTCCTAAATTAGGACAGCAAGAGGCTGAGATTGGAAGAGTAGGAGGAAGTCAGGAAATCCCAAGAGAAGATGATGGGGGAGGGATTTAGTCTCTTTAGAAAACAATAATGCAGTTTAATCTATTTTTCTTCTGACTTTACACACCAAAATAAGCTTCTCAGCTTCTGGGGCTGTCACAAATCATAGGGAAAATAAGGCCACTGGAACCCCATCAGTAGAATAAGAGCTATATAGTAATAATCCTGAGGAGCTGCACAGGGCTTTCCATCTTCAAAGTGTTTTACAGACAGTAATTTATTAATCTGCAAATTTCCCCCGGCCATCAGCAACTGCTCTGCTCTCTGCTCAGTGCGACACAGACACAGAGCACAGATTGGCCCTTGGGACAGACGGCTCCGGCAGCAGCTCTGACCTCTGGAGCCTGACCTCTGCTTCTTTCTCTCTGAAGCTGCAAGTTCTCTGCTCCAGTCACCACCTGAATCGAGAAGCACTGGTGGCATCTGGCACCTTGGAGCCAACTTCAGAGTGGACAAAACCAGTGCCTGAAAGCCTCTGATATCAGGGAGTGTAAAAGACATGCTCACAATCCAGCAAATAACAGCAGAGCCTGAAATAAAGCTCCCAGGACAGAAGCTCCTGGCTGCCTTACAGCCACTGGCTGCCATGCTGGGGTGTCATTCTGGGTAGAAGCTGGCCCCAGTTCTGGGCTCATCCTACCACACAGCCTGTCTGAGAGTCTGATAGTTCCCCAAGGGAGTTATCAGAGGCATTCCTATGCAAACATGATGATTCCTCCCACCAAAGCACTATTTATGCACAGCAGGTACCTGCTAACACTTTATACATGTCCTTCAGATAATCAGCATGAGGCTGCTCCTCTTCTCATGGCAGCAATATTCTTCTGCTTTTGCAATTCCCTAAGACAATACTCCTAACCATGATGCCCTCCCCAACCCTCCCCCTGCAAAAGCTGAGAACTCTTGGAGAGTAAGAGAGCAGCCTGGTTAGCAGAGAGAGGAAAATGGAACAAGGAGCACAACTACAGCTATATCTTCTACATAAGCCGGTATCTAACATCAGCTAGCTTTGTTCAGAAATAAGAACATAACATTATTCTGTATTCACACTGTTCTTTGTCCAACTGCTTTTTCATCTCTTTTAAGCCAGTGTATATTTATATGACTTCAGTAGTGCCAAAGAAATAATTTTAAGACGAAAACTGGGTCCATTGGTTTCTGCAATCTCTCTCTGGATATCAGAACATCGGGTTCACTAAGCATCCTACAACACAAGTGAGGAGCCTCATTTCCAACTTAAGGATGGCTTAGCTAGGCACTGAAAGCAAAAGACCCCAAACACCATTGCAAACACTATGCCAGAGGTCACAAGTAAGGAATTCAAACCCATGCACTGCAGATCACGTACACTCTCAAGACCAGAAAAGATCTACCCTCGCATACAGTATGAGTGAATAGAAGACTCAGGCACTAATTCAGTCTCAGACTCCGCATCTTTTACTCTACACTACTCAGATCACATTTCTTTCCTTGTACAGTTTGCACCTCCCTTCCGGCAAGTGATTTTGTTGCAGCACCAGCCTCCATACGCAGCAGAAACAGCAGAGCCCAAAGAACAGATGTTTAGAGCTACAGTGCTGTAGGTGAAATCTGGGGGGGAAATAAAGTTTACGGATTTGTCTTTCCAGTAAGAAGCAGGGTAAAGCACAATGCTGAAGCTTTCTGACACATTGTCAGGGAGGCTGTCAGCCGTACTGGCTGAACTGGATGGAAAGGCTGCTTGCATCACAGCCAGAGCAGTGCTGGTATTTTAAAGCTGAAATTTAGCAAGTGTTGGCTCCTCATCTCCTCTGTAAGCTCACAGAGCCTGGGACTCAGCAGAACTGGCACCCCTGGCTTGGGCAGTCCCTGGTCAATGTTGTTGACCACACTGCTCCACCAGGAAGGATGGCAGAGGCAGGAAAAGTGGCAACAAACCACAGCAGGACTCCTGTCCCTGCCTCCAGCCTTCCTCAGTTCAGCCTTGGCTGGAGAGAGAGCTGGTCCTGACAATACAGCATTATATGACTTAATAGTCAAAGCACAGAAAGAGATTCATCTGAAACGACAAATCCCTACCAAGTTACACATGTTAAATATCCCAGGAGCCAGGTTCCTCATTGAGAGCTACCCATCTCCATGGCCTTGCTGGGTGTTAGGCTGTAGACTGGGCACAGCCCTTCTGCATTCGCTCCAGATAACCTCAGCTCTGGTCCCCCCACCCATGCTTCCTGCTCCTGAAAGAAAAAGCAAGGCCAAATGCTGCAACATTACCAGAGCAAGTCTGGTCTCCCATACTGCTCTGTATTTACAACTTTGCAAGGGTGAAATGAGCTCCAGTCACCTTTTGGTGCCAGCCCCAGGAAACCCCACAGTGTAACAGAGGGCTACACAAACAGCTGCCCCTCCATCCAACTACAAAAAGCCATCCAGGCCCATCATGAATAACAGAAGACATTTTGACAGCCCAAACTGGTTTATGATGTCCATGGCATAAACAGCAAGCTCTGAACTGAAGAGTGTGTCTGACACCACAGACCTTCAGATAATTAAATGCATATACTGCACTGGATTTGCAGGAGAGACATATTTTAACTGATCACGTGTCTCATGCAACACCCTTTGACACTTATGTTCTTGCAGCACTCTACAAGGGCTCTGAGCATCCTGTACAGAAAACCTCTGCTGAAGGCGGAATATTTTAAATAGTACTAGACACCCTACAAAAATGCATGGAGGGTTCTGGTTCTGCCAGATCCATTGGTATGAGCCTGTGTTTCCAAAATGCCAGGGTGCTCATTTTCACGGCTCCCAGATGACTGTATCAGCTTTTAGGGTAGCTCTAACATTTCCTGGGCAATCCTGGTCCAATTGCACCTACCTCCCATTTCTGAAAAAGCCCAAGATGACTGCACGTGGGGTGTTGTAATGCTGCCTCAGCAGGAGGAGGATATTGCGTTGGTGGAGAGCAGAACAGTATGTCCAGAATCACATGCAAAGCAGGGATTTTCCCAGCGAGCAGCAAAGAACCATGTCACTGGATCCCTCCTTCCCCTGGCGCTCCTGCTACCTGGGGCTTAGCAGAGGAGACCCGGGCCGTATATTCTTTCTCCTTTGCTGTTTCCCCATTGCTCACCACTTCCACCCAGCCCCTGTCAGCCAGGATGGAACATCCCCTACCGAAGACCACAGCCTACTGTGAATGCCTGCAGCCCTTGGGCAGCCCAAGGAGGAGAAAAACCTCCCAGCCTATGTGATGAACACTGTACTGAAATGAACCTTGCTGAAGTGCATGATGTGAATTCGGCCATGATAATTCAGTGTGGTTCCAAGAGGGAATGGCACAAGAGCTGTTCATCTGCTCAGGATATTATGACTTCTTGTTTGTCCCTTGCTGCAGAGGGACAAAGGTTCATGGGGGGGGGGCTTGTCAATCCCCTGCACAGCCCTTATTTCTGAACATTTCCCCCACAAAACCAGCGCCTGTTCTTTCCTCCCTCCCCCTTTCCACTCGCCTCCTGTAAATCATGCTGTCTCCTTCCGCCCCCAAATAGGAAGTCCGGAGCCGAGACATGCACAATCTGCCTCTTCAGAAGAGCTGGGCTGAACGTGTGCCAGAGGAGCTGCAAGCATGACAACATATTTCCTGTCAGGAAAGTGACTCAGTGAGACGGGTATCAGAGCTCCTCTTACTCCAGAAGTTCCCCTCTCCCCTTACATTGCTGAGGCATGAGTCAGAATTTGAGAGCTGAATCTCAACCCCCTCCGGATCCAACCGGGAATAGCAGAGCTCAAGTCAACACCACGTGCCAAACCCTGGTTTCATCCCTCACAGAAGTGGAATAAAGATACTGACCAAGTGGGCAGCTTGAATTTACAAAGCACTTTTAGGTCGAGGTGGTGCTTTCTGCTATTTGCTAATGCACCCATTTACACCAGGCTTGTAGCCTCCATACATGAGCATTGCACAATATCCCACAGAACTAGCGTTGTGTTCAATACTTTGCTGAAGCATTTTACACACAACCCTTTAATCCAGAAATGCTGTAAATTCTTAAAACTCGCTGCAGACAGTTTTATTCTCTGGCCTCAGGCCAGCTCTTCCCACAGTAAGTAGGCAGACCCATTGCATGCCATGTCCTTACCGGAGCCTCTGCCAAGGGTGACCAAGGACAGCCAGAGTGTAACCAGCAGGACACTGACCATCTTCATCCTGCGAGACAAAGCACACAGAGTTTCTGGTTATTTGACAGTTTCATCACTGCAGGCAATTTTTTAACTCTGAGTATGTGTGTTTATCCCTCCATCCACCCAGTGATCCTTTAATTCTGGTAGGTTCTGTTTTTATTTCATTAAAATTCCTTGAGAATAGTAACTGCACGGCAGCGTTGCTCCGCCTGTGGCAGCTTGCCAAGCCTGGGAGGTGATGGCTTTGAAGAGGACAGCCCAGATCATTGACTCAAGTCACTGGAATAGTCTGTAAGCACAAGGAGTAAAATAGGTGCTTGCAGGCCAGAAATCCCGACCTTTGACTCCCAAAACACCGAGGTCCTTTGCCAAGACCTCATTCGGCTTATTTCTAAGAACAAGTGCAGAAAGCACTTGCGACGGTGAGCGGCAGCTGCAGCACAATTGCACTGAATATGTGTTTGACTGTTCAACAGGACAACCATACCAGTGCAGTCCAAACTGGCAAGGTATGCTGTTGGTGACCTGCAAAGAGGCTGGTTGCCAGAGTCCTGATTACTTCACTCTGCTCCTACAGGCAGTGGAGGGCTCACCAGTCCTTTTCAGTCAAACCCTTCTCTGAACAGCCACCTCACAGGAGTAAACAAGCATCAGGTTTGTAGGCTTTTCAGAAATGATCTGAACAAAGGCTTATACTTTCTAAGCAGCTCTGATAAGCAAAAAACAATCCCAGACGTTTCCATTCCTGCTACAGAGCACAATTTCCTGTAATTTGAGATAAATGTACACTGCCAGACTTTCACTGGCTGACCGATCCGGTATCTGGCATTCAGCTCTCAGAGCTGCTCGCTCACCGGAATTAAATCTCCCTCTGTTTCTAGGTTTTTCAGGATGCAATTTATAAACTGGTAGTCATGAGAACTGACATCTACTAGATGCTCTCATTAACGGGGTGAAGGTCGCATTTGATATTCCTAGGTGCTGTCAGATCACAAAGGGAGAAGAGATGGTTAAAAGGCTGAACTTCATCAAAGCAACTCAGCTCCACCAGGCAGATGCAGTAACGAGCATGGTGATACTGTCAGGAGTGTGCTTACGAGATGACAGGGAAACCTGTTCCATCACGGTGGGTTAAAAGTGTGGGGAGAGAAGCCACAGAGCTCCTTTAAACACGCCCCTCATAAACCTGTCCAGAATATATGCAGTACACAGAAGGGCTTTGAGCATAAGCAGAGAGCACCTACGATTGCACAGATTGCAGAGATTAACAAGAATGGGACATGTGAACTGTACTTCTCAAAACCCAGCAGCGGATATTGAATCCTTCCTTTTCAATGCTTACATCTGAAAAGCCTTTGTGCAATGCTTTCCTTCTGCTGGGCTCATCTCAAAGAGACAAAGGAAATCCAGAGCAAGCCTGCTCTTCCCTGCACAGTCCATGCAAAGGGCTGCAGATTGAAGCTGAAGCCATCAGGCTTTAAAAAACAGGCAAGAAGCAGGGAAGAAAGTGAATCTTCTTCCCCGAGATTTAGTTGAGAGGGCTAGTCATCTCCTACTGCCTTCGTCCAAACTGAAATACCAGTTGCTAATCAAACCCTTCTCCAATGCCACCTACAACCAGCTCCCAGTATTACTTAAGAATATTCATAGAGAAGAAACAGCATTCAGTACTCCCACTCCCCGGAGATGTCGAAGAAAAACAAAACATCTTTACACCATCAGATCGGACAGAGAGAACCAACATGCTGCACTTTTGGTAGGAACTTAGGATCTTTTGGTAATTTAGATGCTTGAAGAGAGGGGGTGTAAACAGCGACGAGGAATCATTCCCATAATAAAAATCCCTCATGGTTCCTTCTCCATTTGTCATTAGCTAAATGCACAGTGTGTCCTAACTCACCCTTATTTTTCAGTAATTCTCTCCTGCATTTTGCACAAATCAGACTGAATTCAGCCCTGAAGCATGCAGGAACAACTACTGACTTTGGATGAGTTTATCTTGTATAGAGCAAGGCCATTTATGTGGCCTGAGGCCAAAATAAACTACTACATTTCACTCAGTGATACATGAACTCTGCAGTGAGCTAATATTTACATCCATTAGCTACGTTCACAGGAACACGCTCCTTTCAACTGTCTCAAAGAGCCACCAAGTCTCTGTTCCCATGAGCAAGGTGTCCAAGATTTCCATGCTCTTCCTGCTAGTAAGAAAATCCTTGCTTCTTGCTCTACTGAGCTATAAAATCAGAAGCCTTACACAGAGTGATTTACTTCTGGTTCATTCCAGGCTCTCCAGAGATCTTATCAGTGAAGGCAGACAGACACAGAGCCTGTCAGATTACAGCAATTTCTCCATTACGGGAAAGGGATGCACTTGACCACAGCCCTGGGTGCTCTCACAGTGTACAAAATCCAAGGGGTCATAGAAGGTACACATACAGAGTCAAGGGCTGGTCAAGAGGAGCTGTCGCAGCCTCCTAGATGCCCTGACTGGGCCAGCATTTGCCAGCTGAGATAAAGGAAGAGGATACTCTCTGTTTGGTAAAGAAATGGAGAGCTCACATACTCAGTGAAGAAGATAAAAGGGACAGTAGGGCAGGATGGCTTCTGCAGTCCAGCTCCATTCCTGTGGCACATGATTACTCAAAAAAACCCCAAAACCCCAAAAAAACAAAGCCACAGGATCTGATGGTTTGTACTAACACAGGTTCTGTGTACTAGTGCTGCTAGCACTGGGATGCTTTGCTTTAAATAGCCCCAAATCTGTGATCTACCCCAAACAGAAAGGTCTCCCCACAGCAGTCCTGTTGTCACACAGAAGGGCATTGCATCCAGTTGCAGAGAGAGGGGGTGGGTTTTGCAATGCCCTTAAGAACCTGACACCACAGGACTACAACCCACCCCAGTCTTGCCAGGAAGGGAAGAGTTTTCTCAACCTTCTTTGTTTCGTGACATCAGAAAGCATGTTGCCATTTTGCCTGTAAATGATGCAATTCCAGTGGTGTCTGATGAACTTCTTATGCAATTCCGTAGCACTGTGCTGAAACACCAGCATCTCTGGCTGCAAGCGAAGGAGCCAGAGGCCAGGGAGTGCAAACCCAGGTGGCAGCAGAGGGGTTCACCCAACTGCATCCACCCAAAGCAAATAAAAATAAAAGCAAACACTAAAGGGAGCCAGAAATAAAATCAGTGAGCAGAAGAGCTTACCAGTTCAGAAATCACATCACAGCTAGGAAGCAGGCAATCAGAGCAGCCAGAAGACAGCTGGAGAGCTCTGATACATCCTCAGCACTTCAGGAACTTCTCACGAGACCAATATACTCTGAGGTGTTCTTAATATCTCCATAAATTAACATTTCAATAATAATAATTCATAGAGTGGTTGGGGAAAATGATCCATCACAGCCACTGTTAGAATTTTTTTTAAGGAACTTACTTGATATGTTCACTTTGTTTCAAATCAGAAATTGTTCCCTGAGCACTTTCTTCTTCAAACTTTCACCTTCTTTCTACTGAGGAGCAAAGAAAAGTGGGGTGAGGAGAAACACAGTCACAGAAGTGTCTCCTTAACAGCAAAGAGGGTGGAAAGGTTTGTGGGGTTTTTTTGTTTTTTTCATTCAGTACTGGTCACAAGTGGCATTTATGTCAGAAAAAAATGAATATTTTCATACAAAACACCTTTTAATAAAACACCCTTTCCAAACAGACCTCAGCAAAGAATCATTCGCTCCTGCCTTTAGCAGCACAGACCCCACAAAGCCTATGCACTTTCTAAACAATTATAAAACCCAAGATAGATGTCAAATAATTAACAAAGAGAGCTGCACTCTAAGTAACTACTGCACACCTATTCTCAAAGACACTGTACCAATTCTACAGAACAATACTGCATTTTCCAAGAAAAGTACCTTTGTCCCTCCTAACCACAGGCATATAGGGAGGGCTGGTAGGTTTTCTGCTTTTCACTGAGAAGTCACACTATGGCCTGCAGAACAAAAGCACCCTTCAAAACCTTGCCACTAAGTGCTCTGGCTGAAAGGGCATTTATAATAAAGCACTTTCAGAAAGAGGAAAAAAATAACTTCAGCCAGAGCAGCTTTTACATACTGTATTCTTTCTATAATTCTGTCCAAAGTCAGAAGCATTTGAGAGCATAGGACTGGCCCCAAAAATGGGATGCAGACAGAGGAAGGCTAGCAAAATCCAGAGTGGGATGAATTAGGAAATGCTTTGTTTCTAAGCCACATGGACTTGAGGATGAAGGCTGAGTGATGGGCTGCAGGTTGGTACTCAGGAGAGAGGTACAACAACTCTGCTCCCACATCACAGTGTGCTCACAAGCCCTGGGTCCCTGCATCCTCATGCAGCAGCATTGGAGAAGGCTGCTCGATGAGTCTGCTGTGTTTTCTTATGGGGAAAAATAAATGTACAGTTCAAGTAAATTCAAAGAATCCAAAAGGCAGACAAAGGGCAGCCTGCAAAAGCAACTGCAAAAAAGTAACAGCAAAAACACTAATGGAAAATGGGAAAAGGCCCTTCTGCCCTCCAGGAAACACTTTTACTTTTCAGTACGTGCAGGAGTAAGTCAGACGAAAGGGGGAATTACTGTAGCATAAACCATCTCAGTGCCACTTACCCGGGATTTGCGCAGTGTCTCGCTGGCCCTGCCCCTCCTCTGGAGGCCATCTGGGCACTACATGGCACCACCCTTTGCTGTGGTATCAGCGGTTCCACTCTGCCCAAAGCGGAGCCACCCCTGCCCCTCCTGGGGCAGCCCCTCAGAGGAACGGAATGTTACACCACAGTCTCTGGGAATGGGGGTAGAAAGACAGGTGACGGGGTTCAGAAGTCCAGCCATTACTCCTCAGGAGGAATAAACACATTCATTACAATTTTCATTCCCGGACATCTTCCAGGAACAGAACGGGGAGGAATCAAGCAGCAGTTTGATGATGAAAGCCATAAGCAGCTCAGAGCACTGTCCCTGCTCTAGTGCATGCTACACCACACTCGTCACTTCAAACACAGGCACATTGACCAAAGGGCCCCCAATGCTGTCCTCAGAAAAACATTTGCATCTCCCCTAAGGGCAGGGAGTCCAGTTTATCTTGGCAGGAGCTCCCTAACAGCCAGCACATTTCAGCAGGAATCAGCCAGGGCTGAAGCCTGCCCGGCAATCAGGGATATTGCAGGAGCCATAAGTGTGACCCAATCAGCACATCTAATGCTGACACATCCAAGGCATGTGCAGAGACCTGCAAGATCAACACTGAAGTCCCACTTCTGCCAGGGTAGCTGCACTCACCAGGCTATCACATGCCTGACAGCAGAGCGGGCTGAAAGGAGTTTGTTCTGAAATGTTTCTATTATAAAAGTAATTTATGTCATCAGAACCAAAGGAAACGTTTCAATTTGAGCAGCCTGAAAGTTTTTCACCAGCTAGAATTACAGCAGATATTACACACCTACTTTTGTAGAGGGAAAAAAAAAATAAATTACTGGGAGTCAGATGCAAAGTTGCCCTGGTGAGAGGTGTCCCCTGTCACTAGCACAGAGCATCTTCTGTCTTGCTTGGCCAGAGCTGGCCACTTGCACACAGGACCTGGAAGCACTGGCTCCCAGCACTGGGGAAATACAGTGCCCACACACACCTTTACACCAAGGTCTACCAAGTACCCTGAAGAGAAGGAGGGAAAAAAACCCTAAAAATAAAACCAAACACATAACAAAAAAATCTGGAAACAGTCTTCTCAGTCAGTGGCTCAGCCAGCTCATTGCCAGCCAAGGACATGACATCAGGCATCTGAGGTGGTTCCATTTGCCTGTCACCCACCACAGCCCCTCCATGGCCTCCTGCTTGCCCATCCAGGCCAAGGGCTGCAGTCTGATGTCTTTTTAATAATTAATTTTCACTAAATCTCCAACATGGGGAGGAATGAACCCAGCAGTGTGCTACTCCAGAGTCACCACAGGAGGTGGTCCCAAGCTATTTCTCCCTCAACAGAGTAGCACAAACTGCATGAGCAATGCTCCGAAAGTACCAAGAGCTCCTGAGGACAGAGCAGGCAGCAGCCTCACCTCAAGCTCAGAGGCTCAGGGAAAATTGCAGAGATTTTCATTCACAGTGAGTCATTTCTGGGAGCTTCCTTGGTAGTGCAAGATTTGCCTCTGCCAGTGCCAATGTTTGGGACATGGAAGTGATTGCCAGGCGGGGAATTTGTGATTTGCTATTGACATTTGGATGCCATCTCCTGGTGTCCTTTTGGCTCGATGGATTTAATACTAATAATCAGAATTCGGACGAAGAAACTATTTTTCTCCCTCTCAAAAGGAAAAACGTGCGATCTAGGCATGTGGAAAGGCAGAGGTGGTTTGAAAATATGTCTAAAGAAACTCAGTACACCCTGCCTCTCTTTGCAGTTCTCCTGGGGTCCTCTCACGACTTGGCAAAGCAGAAATGCTACAGATCTTACTGGCTCTGCTGGAAGCCAGGGTACCGCTGATTATATTCTGGCAGCTATTTAGCAGGCAGAGCACACTGCATTTCATACATCAAAAATAAACTAGCACAGTAATCTGTCATCTCTACAAAATATGCACACCTGGACAAGACAAATAAACAGCTGGGGCTACCATCTAGAGATCTGTGGAGTGGGCTGAAGAGGGGCAGGTAGAGCCACAGCTATAAAATCAAACAGCACAGACTACAAATGCATACATGCTGGCCACCAAGCAGTTCAAACACCAAGCTACAAGAGCACTTCTGTGCTCAAGTAAAAGGTATCCAGCCAAGATAGTCTATTTTTTAAGTCTGAATAGCCAGGGAATGAAAAGTTTCCAACAGAGCTTCAAAGAGAGCCAGGGTCTTCCATGAAGCCAGACACAATGCTTCTATTTTAGACGGCAATGTTATAGTGAAAGGAGAGTTCTGAGAAATACCCACATATTGCACTACCACAAAATAAACTGATAAACTAATCTTCGCACAGAAAAAAAGAAAGCTGCAATCAACATAGCTCAAAGAGTTGAGAAGACCAGGAATCCAGAGTAAGATTCCTCCCTTGCTGGAAAAATTCCAATTAGTTCTCACAGAGCACCTGGAGACATCTGACGAGCATTTAATTTACACATTCTGCCTCCTGACCTTTTTAATGGTTTTGCAATGTAAGCAGCTTCAATATCCTCCCTAAGAGGTTGTTCCACTGCCGTGGTGGACACAGCAGCACATCCACATTGTGCAACAGATTGCATAGCAGCAACCCCAAGTTAGCTCTGCCCAAGTCTCTAAATCCAGAGAATACAGTGCAGATTTGAGCAGGTTTATCAGCTGGGTTTACTGCCTTTCACACCACCAGCCTGCTGCTCTTGAACCCCAGAGCAGCTTTCCCAGGAGTGGTATCTCCTCATAAGTCCAGCTTGGCACAGTCAGTGCTCTGCTCAGTCCATATCCCCACCATCACACCAGGCGCTATACCCAGCCCTGCTCAGCACTACCTGCAAGAGGGTCTCAGTCTCAAAAAACACTCCAAGAGTTTATTTTCCTAAGTTCAAGCCCTTGCTGCCAGATATATACCTGCTCCTTCATTTCATCTCCTCCCCTTATAGCCCTCAGTGCTTGCAGACCAGATTCCCACAGTGGCTGCTCTATATTCAGCCAACATCTTCCCCTTCTTGTTCCTCCAGAGACGGACACAGCAGGCAAAAATCCTCCAAGCACCACCATGCTCCAGAGCACATCATCACTGTCTATCACTTCCTTTTTCAGAAGTGCCACAAATTCCTCAGGCAGCCTGCAATGTCTCCAGCACCACAGCAGGTTTGCCCATGCTGTTGCCAGTGGGGAAGACCCAGCTCTCCCCACAGCATAAGAAAAGGATCTCCTTAAGTGACTCTTGGTATGCTGGGATAAGCAACATATTCAAGGGTAAAAGCAAGTCAGATGAATTTTTCAAGTTCGGGCCACACAGTATTTCCACTCCGGTTCTTATATTAATCACATTAATTTAATCCCATTTAGCCTTATACGTAAAAGCAAATAAGAATAAGACATCAAGATGGTTCTATCCCTGTCCTGCAGCTCAGACAGGCTGTTCTAAGTGTACTTTACACATCAATCCATGCCAAAATTTAAAGCAGTACTAAAACAGAAAGCCCAGGAGCTACTGGCCTCTCCCATCCCACTTACAGTTCTCCAGAGTCCTTCCAACCCTCCACATTCCCAACTCCCCCACTTGGTCCTCCTGGTGACTATTAGAGCAGCTTTCTTTTACATACTGCCCCTTCCTGGTAAGCATAGTACAGCTGCACTCTGCAAAGGGGACTAGAAAAAGCTGGGTACACAAAAAAAGAGGAGGTAAAGAGAGACAGAATGAGACAATCCTTCCCCTGTGATGTGTACTGGATTTGCTCCCCATGTCTCTAACATTTCCATCTGCAAATATTTAGTTGCACCATCACAAGGAACTTGCTCAGGCTCTGCCTGCACTGACCCCAGCAGTGCAGCTCAAAATTCAACCTTCAAACAAAAACACCCTGATTTTTAAGTCCTGGAGCCTCCTTTGAGAAAGTCTGCTCTCTGACCCACAGCATGTACACAGTGCAAAGGCTGAGATGGAGCTGCAGGCAGCAGTATGCTGTGATTGTCATCAATATTAATTATTTGGGGAGAATATGATTGATCTCATGAGGGCAACGAATTCATTTCCCCAGCTGAATGACAAACAAAAGGCAATACATTCGCTGCTGACATTTCCAAAGGCTACAAGGAGCAGCGACACAAGGAAATACTGCTGTGCACTAAAACCCTGCTGCAAAGGGCCAAAAATCTGAAAAGCCTCAACAATTTTAATTTCTGAACACTTTCAATGCCAGGAAGTGGATGTCTCAATATCCTGAAATCTGTGCTGACCCCGGCCCTGGGCTGGCTCACTTCTCTGCACTGAGAGGAAGTAATCACCAAGCATCTTTAGAAAGCTCGTTTGAGTTTCCCTCCTGCTCTTTGACACTTCGTGTCAGCAACTACAGTCATTGCACCTGGCAGACAAGGGGGGAAAAAACGCTTATAAAGGGGGAAACATTACCTTCCTGGGTAGTCTCAACCTAGGGCTATTCAGCACCGCTGCAATGCAAGATGCAGCTCCCCTGTGCAATGGGAGAAAAGGAAAACAAAGTAAGCCTGGAGAAAAACATTTCCATCTCCCCATGACCTTGAGTCAGGGTGTCTATGTTTGTGCAACCTCCCAAGAAGACAGCATTAAACAGCATCCCTAAATTCCACATAGCAACATGAGAGAGAACAAGGAAGGTGGAGAAAGGTAAATTGCACTGAGACTGCAGTTATTTTTTCAGGAGAATGGATATGGGGAAACCCAGTCCTTGGGGATGTTACTCCAGAGGAATCTTAGTTTTGTCACGTCGTTCAGTCACCCCAACACATCAATCCTGTCTGGCTCAAATGAAACCAGCACAATTTACTACAGCAACACATTTTGGGATCCAGCAGCACATCTCTTCATTCAAAGAGGTTGGGTGGCCTCAAGACCTCCACAGCCTGCCAGCTGGGCAGCAACATATACATTCTTGTCCCATTACAAAGACCCCTTCTTAGAAACAAGGGCTGGAAACTGTCTGTGTCTTGAAGGAAGAGGGGGGAGGCAGCTATTTCCAAACAGAACAAATCCAATTATTT